TGTCTCCCTGTGTCAAGGACGAAAGCCCTCGATTTCACAACATAAAATAGAAATAAAGCAACTGTTTCTTCGAATTTGCTGGAAATTATTTTTCCACAAATTGAACGTAACACAGGGGCACTATAAAAAAGTCGTCTGTTTGCATTTTGAAGCTAGGGATGGAATTAATTGAGCAAAACGTGTCGAAGACACCTAGATGAGTTCAATTGCCATCTGATATAAGTATCGGCACTATTTTTTGGCGCATAAATACCCAAAGTCCCAACCTTTGCTATGGTGGGCAGCTTTTGAAGTATGGAAAACCATCTTTAAGCAATATTCCTTCCTAAACAGAGGGACAAGTCGTCGTTCGAAATCCAGACAAGAAATTTTCACTTCCTTTTAAGCTTGCAGAGATTGTCTCCCCTGTGTCAAGGACGAAAGCCTTGATTTCACAACATAAAATAGAAATAAAGCAACTGTTTCTTCGAATTTGCTGGAAATTATTTTTCCACAAATTGAACGTAACACAGGGGCACTATAAAAGTCGTCTGTTTGCATTTTGAAGCTAGGATGGAATTAATTGAGCAAAAAAGTGTCCAATACACCTAGATGAGTTCAATTGCCATCTGATATAAGTATCGGGCACTATTTTTTGGCGCATAAATACCCAAAGTTCCCAACCTTGTTATGGTGGGCAGCTTTAAGTATGGAAAACCATCTTTAAGCAATATTCCTTCATAAACAGAGGGACAAGTCGTCGTTCGAACTCCAGGACAAGAAATGTTCACTTCTGTTCTAAGCTTCAGAGATTGTCTCCCCTGTGTCAAGGACGAAAGCCCTGATTTCACAACATAAAATAGAAATAAAGCAACTGTTTCTTCGAATTTCTCGGAAATTATTTTTCCACAAATTGAACGTAACACAGGGGCATCATAAAAGTCGTCTGTTTGCATTTTGAAGCTAGGATGGAATTAATTAAGCAAAAAGTGTCCAATACACCTAGATGAGTTCAATTGCCATCTGATATAAGTATCGGGCACTATTGTTTTGGCGCATAAATACCACAAGTTCCCAAACTTGCTATGGTGGGCAGCTTTTAAGAATGGAAAACCATCTTTAAGCAATATTCCTCCATAAACAGAGGGACAAGTCGTCGTTCGAACTCCAGACAAGAAATGTTCACTTCGTTCTAAGCTTCAGAGATTGTCTCCCCTGTGTCAAGGACAGAAAGCCTCGATTTCACAACATAAAATAGAAATAAAGCCACTTTTTCTTCTCGAATTTCTTGAAAATTATTTTTCCACAAATTGAACGTAACACAAAGTCATCCTAAAAAAGTCGTCTGTTTGCATTTTGAAGCTAGGGATGGAATTAATTAAGCAAAAAGTGTCCAAGACACCTAGATGAGTTCAATTGCCATCTGATATAAGTATCGGGCACTATTTTTTTGGTGTATAAATACCACAACTGTCCAAACTTGCTATTGTGGGCAGCTTTAAGTATGGAAAACCATCTTTAAGCAATATTCCTTCATAAACAGAGGGACAAGTCGTCGTTCGAAATCCAGACAAGAAATTTTCACTTCGTTTTATGCTTCAGAGATTGTCTCCCCTGTGTCAAGGACGAAAGCCTCGATTTCACAACATAAAATAGAAATAAAGCAACTGTTTCTTCTGAATTTGCTGGAAATTATTTTTCCACAAATTGAACGTAACACAGGGGCACTATAAAAAGTCGTCTGTTTGCATTTTGAAGCTAGGATGGAATTAATTGAGCAAAACGTGTCGAAGACACCTAGATGAGTTCAATTGCCATCTGATATAAGTATCGTGCACTATTTTTTTGGCGCATAAATACCTAAAGTTCCCAAACCTTGCTATGGTGGGCAGTGTTAAGTATGGAAAACCATCTTTTAAGCAATATTCCTTCCTAAACAGAGGGACAAGTCGTCGTTCGAAATCCAGACAAGAAATTTTCACTTCGTTCTAAGCTTCAGAGATTGTCTCCCCTGTGTCAAGGACGAAAGCCTTGATTTCACAACATAAAATAGAAATAAAGCCACTTTTCTTCGAATTTCTTGAAAAATTATTTTTCCACAAATTGAACGTAACACAAAAGTCATCATCCTAAAAAGTCGTCTGTTTGCATTTTGAAGCTAGGGATGGAATTAATTAAGCAAAAAGTGTCCAAGACACCTAGATGAGTTCAATTGCCATCTGATATAAGTATCGGGCACTGTTTTTTTGCGGACAAATACCACAAGTGTCCAAACTTGCTATTGTGGGCAGTGTTAAGTATGGAAAACCATCTTTAAGCAATATTCCTTTATTAACAGAGGGACAAGTCGTCTTTCGAAATCCAGACAAGACATTTTCACTTCGTTTTAAGCTTCAGAGATTGTCTCCCCTGTGTCAAGGACGAAAGCCTCGATTTCACAACATGAAATAGAAATAAAGCAACTGTTTCTTCGAATTTGCTGGAAATTATTTTTCCACAAATTGAACGTAACACAGGGCATCATAAAAGTCGTCTGTTTGCATTTTGAAGCTAGGGATGGAATTAATTGAGCAAAAGTGTCCAAGACACCTAGGTGAGTTCAATTGCCATCTGATATAAGTATCGGGTACTATTTTTTTGGTGGATGAATACCACAAGTGTCCAAACTTGCTATTGTGGGCAGCTTTAAGTATGGTTCCAGTTGATGGTAATTATGATGATTTAAAGTGACTTTGTGTGTTTTTGCTGTGTTGGTACTTTTACGACTCTTCTTCCAGGTCTACGGGGTGGCATCATCTGTTTTGCAGGTGTGTGGCTTTAAGTAGTCTCCCCCCATTTTTCTCATCATGGCACTAGTTAGTGCAGTGGATGCTGGAGAGATACCAGAGGACTACTATGATCTGGACTATGCTGCATGTACAGTGCGAGTTGATTCACGGCAGAGGAGAGTTGCAAAAGAGGATATTTTGCAGGTTTTGAAGGCGAAGTTACCATCATTCAGGATAAGCGATGTTGCCAGTATATGGAATACTGAGAGAGCTGGACACTTTTTTATAACCTTCAAGAACAAGGAGCAGGCTGATGCTTTGAAGTACAGGAAAGAGATTGAATACGGGAATAATGTGTTTATGTTCACAAGCTATGGAGTTCAGGTTGTGAATCTACGTGTGCACTGGTTGCATGCAACAGTGAAGCATTCATTTCTCTGGGACTTCTTTTCCAAGTATGGGAAAGTACTGGATGTGTGTTTTGAGACGAAGATGGTAGATGGGGAGAAGATTGGAACTGGAATACGCTATGTGAGGATTGAGATCGAAGATAATGGATTGGACAGGATTCCTCATGTGGTGAACTTTGGGAAAAAACAGCAGATTCTGATAACAGCCCCCGGTAGATTGCCTCTGTGTTTCCGATGCCACACATATGGTCATGTTCGATCAATGTGTCCAAAGGATAGAAAGGATAGTGTTCAGGAAGACACGGAACAGGAAAAGGAGCCGACAGTGACAGAAGAGCATGATTCTGATGGAGCAGATGACAATGCAGAGATGGAATCAGATTCAGAGAAGGATATACAGGATGTGGATGATTCACAGAAAAGGAAGGAGCAGAAAGTGACAGAAGAGCATGATTCTGATACAGGATGTGGATGATTCACAGAAAAGGAAGCAGGATGTTTGTGAAAGTTACAGGGATTCGGGGAAAAAGATGAAGGAATCGGACTATGAGGTTAAGGATCAGGGAACAGAACCGAGAGAGAACAAGGACAAGGGGACACCAGAGGATAAATTTTGGACATTCAGGTTGACATTGTCAATGAAGAAAGGAACATCAAAGGTGGAGGTGGGCTTTCATGAGAATCCCTTGAAGAGGTATTGCATGAACTATCCGGAGAAAGAACGGACGTCTAGGAGACTATTAGCTGAAGATGCTGTGCTTAAAACTGTGAATAAGTTTAAAAAGGCATTCAGAATTCCTCAATCAAAACATTCTGTGGACTATTCAGTGGTGTTGTGTGAGGCAGCAATTCTGGGTGATGACACTATTCCACCCAAGGACATTCAAATGATCTCATAAACTCATAATGTTTCTTGAACTAAAGTTCCTTCTTCCTCTTTATTCTTGAACTGTTAGTACTGCCATCTCACTTCTGTGATATTTCTTTTATTGAGATGGTAGTAACGGCACTGTCTGCGTCTGTTGTCAAAGTACATGAATAAATTTATTTAAAAAAAAAAAAAAAAAAAAAAGCTTTAAGTATGGAAAACCATCTTTAAGCAATATTCCTTCATAAAGAGAGGGACAAGTCGTCTTTCGAAATCCAGACAAGAAATTTTCACTTCGTTTCATGCTTCAGAGATTGTCTCCCCTGTGTCAAGGACGAAAGCCTCGATTTCACAACATAAAATAGAAATAAAGCCACTTTTGTTGGAATTTCTTGAAAATTATGTTTCCACAAATTGAACGTAACACAAGGTCATCATAAAAAGTCGTCTGTTTGCATTTTGAAGCAAGGAATGAATTAATTAAACACAAAAAATTGCCAGTCCATTTTTGTGTATAAATACCTAGGTCGTCAGTTCAATTGCCATCTGGATATAAGTATCGGGCACTATTTTTTGGTGCGCATAAATACCTAAAGTGCCCAATCTTCCTATGGTGTGTAGCTTTAAGCATGGAAAACCGTCTTTAAGCAATATTCCTTCATAAACAGAGGAACAAGTCGTCTTTCGGAAATCCAGACAAGACATTTTCACTTCGTTTCATGCTTGTGAGATTGTCTCCTGTGACAAAGACGAAAAGCCTCGATTTCACAACATAAAATAGCAATAAAGCCACTTTTTAGTTTAATTTTTTTGGAAATTATGTTTCCACAAATTGAATGTAACACAAAGGGTATCATATAATGTCGTCTGTTTGCATTTTGAAGCAAGGATGGAATTAATTAAGCAAAAAGAGTCCAAGACACCTAGGTCAGTTCAATTGCCATCTGATATTAGTATCGGGCACTATTTTTTTTGGTGCATAAATACCTAAAGTGCCCAATCTTCCTATGGTGTGTAGCTTTAAGCATTGAAAACCGTCTTTAAGCAATATTCCTTCATAAACAGAGGAACAAGTCGTCTTTCGAAATCCAGACAAGACATTTTTACTTCGTTTTATGCTTGTGAGATTGTCTCCCCTGTGTCAAGGACAAAAGCCTCGATTTCACAACATAAAATAGAAATAAAGCCACTTTTGTCTTTGAATTTTTGAAATTATTTTTCCACAAATTGAACGTGTAACACAAGGGTATCATATAATGTCGTCTGTTTGCATTTTGAAGCAAGAATGAATTAATTAAGCAAAAAGAGTCCAAGACACCTTGGTCAGTTCAATTGCCATCTGATATAAGTATCGGGCACTATTTTTTGGTGCATAAATACCTAAAGTGCCCAATCTTCCTATGGTGTGTAGCTTTAAGCATGGAAAACCGTCTTTAAGCAATATTCCTTCATAAACAGAGGAACAAGTCGTCTTTCGAAATCTAGACAAGACATTTTCACTTCGTTTTATGCTTGTGGAGATTGTCTCCCCAGTGTCAAGGACAAAAGCCTGATTTCACAACATAAAATAGAAATAAAGCCACTTTTGGTTGAATTTTTTTTGAAATTGTGTTTCCACAAATTGAATGTAACACAAGGGTATCATATAATGTCAAGTCTGTTTGCATTTTGAAGCAAGGAATGAATTAATTAAGCAAAAAGAGTCCAAGACACCTTGGTCAGTTCAATTGCCATCTGATATAAGTATCGGGCACTATTTTTTTGGTGCATAAATACCTAAAGTGCCCAAACTTGCTATGGTGTGTAGCTTTAAGTATGGAAAACCGTCTTTAAGCAATATTCCTTCATAAACAGAGGGACAAGTCGTCTTTTCGAAATCCAGACAAGACATTTTCACTTCGTTTTATGCTTGTGGATTGTTCCCCCTGTGTCAAGGACGAAAAGCCTCGATTTCACAACATAAAATAGAAATAAAGCCATTTTTGGAAATTATGAAAAAGTCGCACCACAAATTGAACGTAACACACAAGGGTATCATATAATGTCGTCTGTTTGCATTTTGAAGCAAGGGAATGAATTAATTAAAACAAAAGAGTCCAAGACACCTAGGTGAGTTCAATTGTCTCATCTGATATAAGTATCGGGCACTATTTTTGGTGCATAAATACCCCAAGTGCCCAATCTTCCTATAGTGTATAGTTTTTGGGCATGGAAAACCGTCTTTAAAGCAATATTCCTTCATAAACAGAGGGACAAGTCGTCTTTCGGAACCAGACAAGACATTTTCACTTCGTTTTATGCTTCTGAGATTGTCTCCCTGTGTATTAAAGACAGAAAGCCTCGATTTCACAACATAAAATAGCTTAATAAAGCCACTTTTAGTTTCATTTTTGGAAATTATGTTTCCACAAATTGAACGTAACACAAAGGGTATCATATAATGTCAGTCTGTTTGCATTTTAGCGGAAGCAAGGATGGAATTAATTAAGCAGAAAAGTGTCCAAGACACTCTGTGGGTGAGTCTAATTGCCATCTGATATTAGCATCGGGTACCATTTTTTGGTGGATGAATACCACAAGTGACAAATCTTGTTATGGTGTAGTTTTCTTAAGCATGGAAACCGTCTTTAAGCAATAATATTCCTTCATAAACAGAGGGACAAGTCGTCTTCGAAATCCAGACAAGACATTTTCACTTCGTTTCATGCTAGTGAGATTATCTCCTGTAAAATAAGGACAAAAGCTCCGATTTCACAACATAAAATAGAAATAAAGGCACTTTTGGCTTGAATTTCGTGGAAATTATGTTTCCACAAATTGAACGTAACTGTTGGATATCATGTTAAAAGTCATCTAGTTTGCATTTTCTTGAAGCTTTTAGAAATGAATTACACTACAAAAGTGTCCATGACACCTTGGCTGTCTTCAATCTGCCATCTGATATAAGTATCGGGTACT